AGACACTATAAGATACAAATATACTTATATTTAAACTTAGCCACTTAAGAATATTACACAGAAGAGCAAATATATTTATAACAGCATAAGAAGAATACTGAAAACACTGTTTAAAACTTATCGTATGGATAGATTCATTTCACAATTTTTATTTCAATATAAGAATAATTTTTAATTAAAACAATATTTGAATTAAATAAAATGGATTCAGGCAATGCTTTATCGCAAGATTAAGAAACGATTGCTAAGCTACATAATGCGATTGCACTTTTTATTTTAGTCAATATCCGAGGATTTACAATTTCTACTAGCTCTCTGTATTTAAAGATTCATTGGAATTTTTTTTTTTTTTTTTTTTTTTTAAATACAAAATAATTAATTAATTCAAATTATTTTGTGAAATTTAAATGCATTAAACATGTGAGTCTTTATTAAAACGCCAGTTTTTATTGTAGACAATTTTGTCTGCTAAGTAAAATAGTTGCCGTCGCTCAGAAATACCGATTACATTATAGATGGTCACCAATAAGAGGATCTTGTATTAATTTGTTTTTAAAACAGAAAACGGAGCAAAGATTTTTCCCCTTGATAAATAGTATTCGAATATGTGGATAGTATATAGCTGGAAACAATAATGATAGCTTTAAAAAACGATTGCCTTTTGGGATTAGCATTTAAATATAAAATTATTTTTAAACTTTTATTTTAATTCTGAGTTTTTTAGTTTTTGGATTAGGATTTTATGAAAGTTTCAATAGCACTTTAATATGGTCGATCACATTTAAACTTTTTCTTAGGCAATAAGTCGAATCATATCGAGTCGGTCTTTTTATTGAAGAAGCAGCACATTATTTACCGTTGATTCTTCAGTGTAAGAGAGAGGAGAAAGAGCTTTTGTACTTTTTCTTCCGTCACTAAATCAATGATTCTCATATTTATTAGAATTCTTTATAGAGCATAGGAGATTAAACAATTCAGTTCTTGAATATAGGAGCAAGGAAGGTATGTCACAGCATAGGGATAAGTATAAGATATTTTCCTTTTACAGCTCTATAAAATTGGTGAAGTTGAGACATTATTAGCAAATTTTAATCTAGTTATTCCTTTGTGATTGGTGTTGCTCTTCGAAGAAAAACTTCAAATAAGAATTAAAATAACTGTTCCCTCCTTAATACCATACATTAAACAAATAATTTTGCTGTGAAAATTATTTCCTCCAACTACGCAACTTGGAAGCATTAAAGCATTAACTACCCGTATGATATCTCTGAATAGTATAGTTAAATAAAATTAAGATTACTGCAAATGAAATTGTAATGTTTCGAGTACAATTCATAACCGCAGGTAATTAAAAATTGCACAGTTTTACCACTAACCAAATTTTTTTTAACGTTTAGCGTTTTTTTTAACGTTTTGTGTGTTACCTTTATTTATAAAATATGTTCTTCGCACTTAAACCATAAAAATCAATTCAACAGAAATATCACAAAATAAATTAAAAAGAACATATCTTTAGAATTTTCGATACACAGTCTCGCGCGCTAGAGATAATTTTTTTTTCCGTACAGTGTTACCACTGCTCGCTTTGAAATCGTTGAGTTTGTTAATTAAAAATCCGTTAAAGCTTTACAAAATATGAAATAAATAATAAAACAAATTCCAAACTCCAAATTTGGACTTTCAGATACCCATGTTCGAATGAAGGACTACGTTATTCAAAATTTGATGTCTCTAGGTACCGCTGTTTTTTCACGAAGCGAAAAACATGCATAGATTCACTCAGATTCTTTATTTAATTTCTTTAAATATTTGGTGATCTAAGTTTTGCAGCAACACTTTGAAAAGTGAAACGCCGTTTATAATAAGCAACACAAAATGCCAAAACGAAATTAATAGTCGCTTTGGGCTAATTAAATAAAATAAATTACTAGGTAGTGAATGAACTATCTGCGTATTTAACAACCACCCTATTACATCATTTTAAATAACAGGAATATAAATCGCTAGATGACTAAGAAAATGAAATTCATTGCATTGAAAAACATCGAAGTTCACATGCTTTCTATGTTATTCCAAAAAAAAAGTTTAATATTTTTGCTATATTTATTGACTTAATTGAAATTCGAAATTAATGTAATCACTCAAAATTATTTTACTGCGTTTCCTTCTGTCTTTTGTGCAATATTTAGATAATAAGTAGCAAATCTCAAAATTAAATGCTCCAGCTTATATTTGTTTTCTTTTCTTTCTTCTTTCTTTTTTTTTAAATACTTATTTTCTTTTATGCTTTTTATGCATAAAATATATTTTTATAACATTATGCTTTTAGATGCTTTGTCCGAAACGAAAGGGCTTTTTCTTCTTTAGTGATATTTAGCTTGATAGCTAGAGGGAAAGTTGGAGCGGATACAAATGGATATTCAAAACTGTAAAAGAACAACAGCTTTACGACTTGAAAGTGTCACCTAACCTTCGAAATATTTTCCTACAGCTTGTTTCCTGAGGAAGGATGACTTTTCCTGATCTTACTTCTAAATGGAAAATAGCAGACTTTCCGGTCATTCTTTGTTAATGAGATGCATTTTTTGGGAAGCTGGAAAGCAGTATTTTAAAAACTTAAGTCTCATTTATTGAAAATTATTTAGCACTTTTTATAAGTATAGGTAGTGGTAAAGCAGGAGGGTGCTCAGGGCACCCCCTCTGGCTACGCGCCTGAGGTGATAGGTAGATCAATCTTTTTGCGTTGTGCGGGAAATGACTTTAGTATTTTATAGTTGAAGAGATTAAATGAATATAAGTGTTGACATACAAGTGCTTTACCGAAGAATTTTGTGTTTGTCTTGTTAAGATAAGTTTCAATGGTGTCAAGTCTGAGATCTCCGTGAAGTGTGACATTTCTGACATAGTAATGTACATTAGTGATAATGGGAAGGAAACGATTTTGAATTTTTTGTAATTCCAGGAGATCTTTTTCTGTAGCAGAGGTCCATGCAGGTGAAGCATAAAAACTAAAAATGCTCTGATGATGGAGGTGAAAACATGACTTTTTTCCCCCAAGATCCATATTTGAATGTTTTCCAAAAATGGGAATTAGATTATTGATAACATTATTTGCTTTGTTTCTAATCTTGTTAATATGGTCATTCCATTTTTTAGAATTATAAGTTATACCCAAATACTTGACAGTCTTGACTACAGGAATAGTTTCTTTGAACACGGTAAGCTGACAAGTAGGATTAGTCCGGGAGTTTTTTCCTTCTAATGATAAGTAAATGAGATTTCGTCGCATTAACAGCAATTCTCCACAAGGTGCAACATCTCTCGATATGATCTTGTAATTTTTTAATCGCATGGTTAACATTTGTAGATCTAGCTGCAAGAGCAGTATCATCAGCATAACATCCAAGAACGTAGTGATGGTCATGATTTTCCTTGAGGAAATCGGCGACGTAGAACGAATAAAGTATAGGGACAAGGATAGTTTCTTGGGGGACCCCTGCTGCAATGGGTCTGATGTCTGAATAGTCATTTCCTTGGGTTACGATGAATTTCCTGTTTGAGATGAACGACATCAATAGGATTATAATTTCTCTGTCAGTATTCAATTGAATAAGTTTATATATAAGATCCTCATGCCACACGCGGTCGAAGGCTTTCGCCACGTCCAGCATGAGTAAGGCAACATATCCTCTATTATGAAGAGCTGCACCCTTAAATTCAGATAGTCTAACTAATTGTTTCGTGGTAGACAAAGGTTTTCGAAAACCAAACTGTTTGTTAGGTAAAACAGGCAAATAAGGATGCATTTTGCGATAAATAATTCTTTCAAAAATTTTACTAATTCCGCGAAGTAAACTTATGGTGCGACACCCATCCAGCTTAGTTGTATCTTTACCAGGTTTGTATATTCATACAAAGGTTTCTCAGGGGCAAAAGTAAAAGTATTTTTCGTCGACACTTTTGTAAAGATGTTTCGGACTTCTGTCACGTGTAGCAGATCGTTTAGTAGCATGTTAAACTTTGTGCGCTGTTTTAATAATTCCACGAGTCTGCACAGAAATTTCATGAGAAGTTGACGGCACAATATCATTTGAACAATGATTTACAACATTATTAGAAGTACCATTAAGTATCTTCATGAATGCTTTAAAGCATGTTGATTTCATGTGCTTGTGGACGATTTAATGTGCCTTGAGTGAGTCAAGTTTGCTCCAGCCCACTGTAAGCGTCCTCAATGTATTTTCAGAGTTGATCCATGATCCAAGTGGAAGTTTTACCAGAATCAACGAAAAGGAGAAAGAAATCCACGCCCCGTAATGCAGAGGATCTACAATGTTATCAGGTCAGTCGAAAATACTGCGACAAAACGGCACTTGATTTTGGCATATCCATGACGATGGAGACCCACGAGAACGGAGAAGTGGTGACGAAGGAGAAGGGGGTAACCATGAGTTAATGTGAAGAACCACGAGCAACTTCCTGGAGCACAGACCTCCTTCTTCTTCTTGACATAGAATTTCTAATTTTAAGAAGTAATGATTGCAACTTCTAGAAAATGCTTCGTAACGTTTCAGGTAAAAATATGCTTCTAGAGTATCCTGCAAAGTTTATTTTTTAAATCGCTTGTACAAATATAATTTATTGTGGAGTAACATGATGCTTATGAGAGTGCGAAAATAATTTATTGTACCTTTTTGACTGTTATACTTCAAAATTTAATCTAAATGTAGACTAAAAAAAGAAAATTTTACAATTAAGGATATTTAGATTTCTTTTTAAAAAATCAGCGTGTTTAGTCTACATTAGCATGCTGATATCTCTGAAGAAAGGTATTCTGTGATAATAATTCTGTGAGTAAATGTAGTACTATTTGTGAAGGCAATTATGGGTTTTGTTTTGTCTTGTAAACATATATATGCAATATTCATTTTCATAAAATATATACTGAAAAGCATTTGAATTGTACGCACTATGTAACAAAAAAAAAAAAAAAAAAAAAAGCCATTTGCATTATATTTTATTTTCTAAAACAGTATAAATCGTTTTTACAATGATCTAAGATGATGTTTTAACAATCTATTATTTCCATTCTACATATATGAACAGCTTTAGACAAGATAAAATGTCTTATGATTGAATTTTAATATTTAAGTAAGGTCCAAGTGAGTACTGAGGCATGGGCAGTTATTGGACGTTTATTTACTTCAGTTCATTCATTTCAGTACGTATAAAGAGGGAGAACACCAATCCTGCCTTGTGTCTTCGATTTTCTTCTAGTAAAGTGTAGAACCTGATAATCTTGACTGATTTTCCGTATTAGCTTTGAAACTTTGACTCTTCTTTTGATTGTAGAGGACCACAAGTAATACAACTACAACCACCAATAAGGCAATAGATACAGAAACCATAGCCCAAGCTAAGGTTCTGTAAAGACTTTCTGTTCTTTTGTCTTGTATAAGTGGGCTATTCGTAGGTGATGTCATACCAGCTAAAGCGGGAAGATGTCTTGTCCACATGTCTACAGCTCTCTGCTTATAGAATGCCTCTGGTCGTAAATCTCTTTCTATTCTGTAATAGGCTTGAGTTTCTGGTTTGTAGGGCTCCCAACGAGGGTATTCGTAGTTAATATACTGTGGAGCTTCCCTGGAAAATAGAATATTACATTTAATACATTTATTTTTTAAAATATACTTTTAGCTTCCTGCTTACAAATCATTTAACATTTAAGATGAAAATATTTCGCTTGAAGCTGTGTCTCTCGTAGGTTTTTTCCAAATAACTGGTTTTCGTGTAAGTCAACTAATCATATATCTCGAAAGTTAAATTTCCGAAATATGTTTTATTCGGCGCGCTATTGCGGGTTACTGGTCTCTGAATTTTGAAAAATATAGTCATCAGATTCCTCGAAAAGATGAGATGAAATGATTATTTTTTGTAGTATACCGTTTCCTTTATACTGCGAAAAATGACTGTGAAATTATAAACTGCAGTTTCTTAGATAATAGATTGCTAGCAGTATATAAGACATTTTAATGGAACACTTACATAACTTTTATCCTTTAATGTGAAGACAATGCATGCGACTAAATAAAAATGTTCTTACTTAGTAGCCAGATGCAGGTATAGGTAGAAGTATAGGGGGCACCAATTACTTATCAAACGATGAAGCAGGCATTTTTTCCCATGTACTAACTACAATGGCAGACATTTGCGAAGGACGGATCACAAACGGCTTTATAGTGCATAAAAGATTAAGTGGGCTTGGATGCGAAGTAAAATAAAACAATACCAGAGTTACCAGAATATTGGGCCATAATAACAAAGATAATTTATTATGCTTTGGAATCCAGAAGGCTTTGAAAAGTGTTCAAGGGACGAAATGGTTATTTTGTGCTTAATACGTAAGAGAGAAACAAATGCAATCACCTTCCGCAGGCAATCTGGCGTAAGGGAATATAGCCACCATGGACGGCAATGCGAGATTCCACACGTAGTGTCAAGCTTTGCACAATATTATCCAGCAGCCATTCCTCTGTCAGTGCACCGATGAAGGTGTTCTTGTTTATTGGACGTCATTTGTCGATCACCAAAACTCCTCCCCAAAGCATTTCCAGCGGGATTCAGATCTAAAGAACGTGCTGGCCACACAGAGTGTTGAATATCCTCGCTCTCTAGACACCCTGGACAGCGACTGTTTGATGATATGTTGCGTTGTTGTCCATGAAAACAAATTTAGTACTAACAGTACCATAGAACATGCGAACATGAGACAGCAGAACATCATTAATGTGTCGTTGGCCAGTCATAGTCCCAGTTGGAAGCACATAAGGCGACGTACGGCCGTTGATCATGATTCCAGCCCATACCATGCTACTACATGTAGAATATTGGTCCCTTTCCTGCATATTTGCCGGACTGTATGCTGTACCACTCTCACGCCACTTCAGTTTCCGTTCACAATCAGACGAGAGACTGAACCTATTTTTATTTGAGAATAGTACACAAGCTCAGTCTTCTTTCCTCAAATTGCGATGCTGACGAAACCATTGCAAAAGGCCGGAACGGTGACGTCTAGGCAGTGGAATGAACGCAACTGGATGACGGGCGTATAGTCATTCTTGATGCAAATGTCTGGCTACAGTTTTCTAGAAGATTTGCTTGCCAGTAGTAGCAAGTAACTGATTTTCTACTTTAGTAGTTGTGTTGTACCGGTTCCTTTTTGTCGATAGCACTGTGTACCTTCCTTCTGCAGCCGTAGTGCAGCGAACACGACTTCCTCCGTCACGTTTGGTACACATTCCATTTGTTTGAAATGATTTCCAAAGCTTTGAAATAACACTGTGCTGATATCGAACACATTAGCAACATGTGTTATTTTTCGCTCTTCTTCAATCTTGCCAATAATACGGCCATGCATAAAATCCTCTAATTGATGTCGGGAAGACATGTCGAAAATTGCAAATTCGTCATTTGATTCTTTCCCATTAAATTATGCTTTTGATCACCAACGATCAATACACATATCTTGTCTATCACGTGACGAACAACTGCGGCAATTCAGAATTTGCATACGCACAACATGTTTTACTGTATCTCGCACTTACACTAATTTTCACATTTTCCTGCCTTCCATTTTGTGGCTGCTATCACTGCAAATGTCATCAGTCCTTAGCAATTACCCACCACTGTATTTAGAAACATGAGCATCTTATAGAATCCCAGATGATCTCTAGGGTCCGCAAGAGATAAACGCTTGATCCATTTCTTACCGCGGGTCCTGCCACCGAACCAGCGGCTTGCTATAATTGTATTACCTCGTTATTACTTAGTAGATAGAGGTTCGTGCCAATAATTTAGAAATTTATATTTTTAATGTTAACACAGCTTATTTTAACTTACAACACTGATACTTTTGCTCTAAACCAAGTAACGCTTTTCATTATGTGCAAGTATATGTAATATGATATATGACTATTTGTGGGTACTTGTCTTCTGCAGAGGCCTTGGCGAAGAATTGCATTTGAAGCATTTCTGAATTGGCAAGAAACAATTATTTATAGGTCTGCGTATGGGTAAGAAACAAACGGTTAACGATCTAACTGGTCTTTTGTAATTGAACTCTGTTAATATAACCGTTTTTCATTCTGAAACACTTACTGTGCTTTCTAATTTTAATCTTCGATTAAGAAAAAAACAGTATAGTTCCTTGATGATTATAATTGATGCTGAGGCATTATCCGCAGCCATTGCTGAACTGTCGCCTCTAGAAAGAGACTGTAAAAAATGAATTCTCTGGTATGTTTAGATTTTTTTAATAAACTTCTAACAAAATTGTATTAAGTAAAATAATAAATAAAACTTTACAGCATGTTTACATATGCCATATTTAATAAATTGTTTGCATAAATGTATTAAATTTGATAATTAATGTATATATTGAATAAAGTTTGATGAATTACATTATTAGTTTTAATAAATTGCTGAAGAAATTGTGTCAAATATTATAATAAATACAAATGTAAAATTATATTGCCGTATTTGTTTTTCTAATTAATTCTATCTCTATATTAAATAACTTTGTAGGGTTTAGATTTATTTTAACTAACATTTATTTTAAGTTTAAACTATCTTTCCTGTCAAGCCTTACTTTCCCCTGGAACTGCCAATGCCAGAATATGTAAATTTGAGTAGAACGCGCAAGGATTCAAATTATCAGCGGAAGTATTATGATTTAAATAGGAAGGAAACGAGTTCGGTGTGATATGCTTACTTCACGAGCGCGGAGGTAGTTAGCGAGAAATTGAAGAACCCCGCGTTTCGGCCTATGTGCTTGGCGGGAAGTAGTGTTAATCGTTCAAGCGAGCTTCAAGTCTGCTGAATTAGCAGCGGTGTTGTAAAACGCGGTGAGTTAGTTATTTTAGAGAGCCTCGTAGTTAGAGTCTTGTCTTTAGTTTCTTTTCAGGTTATTATTTTTATTTGACTGCCGAGTTGGCACAGTCTGCGAGCGTCAAGAGCACGCAATTGTAATTTATTACGTTGAATAAAAAGGGACTTAAACCCGTCACAAGACTCTATCTTTTATACAGTTTTCACAGTCACCCCTTGGTTGCGTGCAAGTTGAAGGCACGCAACGTTACAACTTGTATTGCATAGTTGTCGTTTTATTGCTTATCGTTGACAATTTCATTTTCGAGTATGCTTACAAAATTTGGCAACAAATCGTACTTTTTAACAACGTAAGCCCAAAATACGCCATCGCCATTTTTTGTGGCCAAGGCTGTAAAGAAGAGAAGTACCTGTTTGTGTTGTATACTTTAAGTTGATTTTAAGAAAACCTAATGACACATATTAATTGAAAGTTCCAGAACTGTAAATTGTTTGTTTCGTGAAAATAAATTTTATTGAGCTCTCATCGGCTCTGTGTGCATTCAATGCATTACGAGCCCATACGCACGCAATGAAATTATAGCTATCATACATTTATATTTTTGATAGATTTTGATTTTTATATAGGACACATATATTGTTTTACGATATTATTAGAGATTATGATTTGCAGAAAACTGGGTGGAAATTGAGAAAAGTGTTTTTTCATTCAATAAACTTTTCATTATTTTTTATTATTATTAGAGTATTATTAGAGATTATTATTAAGTTGGAGATTCAGAAAAAATTATGAAATATAGTGTTACATTGATACAATAATATATATGTTAGAGGTGCCCTATACGAAAATGTGCATACACATGCATCAGTATAAAAACATATTTTTTATTGAATTTCCGGGGCGGGTTTGAGGAAAATGCCCAATCTGTCCTGCGCACACTTTATGTTTCCAATAAAAATTGAGAATTATTGGACTAAAGAAACAAAGTTTTAAATCAAGAAGATTTATTTTTAATATGGAATAATATGAAGAAAAAAGTTTCACAGTTATAGCTTCAAAGTTTATAAGTATTTATTTTAACCCTTTATACCTTTATATCTGTTACATAGGAGGTATGGTGACTGCAATCCTCAGGTAACTTTTCTTTTAACGATTTATTTCCCTCAAAAAACTAATCCATTAATTAGCTGTGAGCGTCTAAATAAATTATTTAAATCAGTTATTTAAAGTACTTTCTTCTTTCTGAATAGAACAATAATAACAGCGAGAGTTAGACATATGAATTGATACTGTATATCAAGTATAGAAGGTATTGAGCAAGACAATTGAATTTTCACTGAACCTCAAATCCTTTAATTAAAGAATATATTGCAAAAACATTTGGTTGAACTGTTTGTGACAGACATTCTTTAAGTGTTTTGGTCATCTACATCGAGCTGCAATTCCTTCGTTGTGGAACAAATGGTACTGGGAAATCATTCTTCCTAGATGAGAAAGGCACTGTTCCTCTTTCAAAGTCAACACTTCAGTGGCACCGCAATTCCATGAAACATTTCATTAAATTAGAACTTAAAAATAATATCAAAAGCCTGACGAGGAAAATGAATCCAAGAGGTGTCTCATTAATTTAGATTTGTTGATTACAGATCTTCCTCATAATTCTTATAGTCTCTCTTTCATCTTCTGACCGAATATAATCGATTTATTCACCATTAGACGCAAGAACTCATTTAATTTTTAATTGTGAATATTTATGACTGATGGAAATATCGGCATGTGTTCTGTACTTATCGGTTTGGTTTTTATTGATAAAAAATATTCAGAAGCTAATAGCGATAATCGCGTCATACTTAGAAATGCTTAAGAAAATTTGCCTTGCTAAAATTATTTTTCTAATGAAGGTTCTAAAAAAATGGCAAGTATTAAGGATACACATGAACAAAATATAGAAACTTAGAATTATCAAATATCTGGGATTAGTCCGAATAATCCAAGATATATAATTATATCCGAAACTATATATTGGATTAAAAAAATATCCGGTATTTTTAATTGAGAAGGATTGTGTGTCTAGTTTATTAGTTGGCGATAAATATCTAGTTAGCACACTTCTTTCTGAACTCTTACTACACAACGCATACGAAGTAAGATATTCAAGACCGTTGTATCGTAGTACCTTCTTGTCTGTACAAGCGATTTTTATGCGAATGAAGAGAAAACTACTAAGACTCATTTTAAGGATTCTTTGGTTCAAGCTGTCTGTTTTTATTTTAAAATTTATATATGAGAAAAGGAAAAATAACCACACTACGTTATCTTCACAATAGGGATGCTGTAAAAGTTACGCAGTCTACTTTCGAGTATCTTAGTTATTTTGTTGCCCTTACTGCATGAGTTCTTCGTACTAGTTTTTATCTTTCGGGGAAGTAAGTACATATAAGTCACATGTTGTCGGCATTTTAGTCGCTGTCCTGAATTGTATACTGTCCTGAATATCAGCATGCACAGGGAGGGGGGTTACTGGAGCCAAATAATTATATCAATACAATTTTATTTAATTATTTAATTTTTAGGGGGATCACAAGTAATTACGGAATACACCAATAGCATCAATACCAAGAACATTTTTACTGGATTCCGAGGAGAGGCGTATAAACCATCTTTCCCCCACCGCGAATTCTTTTCATTCTGGGCATTATTTCTGAAATATATCCTATCTAATATATTTTATATAACTCTTCAGTGTTCTAATCCATTGCCAATAGATCTAATACTTTCTTATTCCCACAAAATAATAACAGAAGCAATATGATCGAAGCATATTTAATTCATACTTTGTATTGAATGCAGCAGATGTGTCGAGCAAAATAATTCAGTTACAGTTGAACTCAAAAATCCTTTAATTAAAGCGTATTTTCTATTAATGTTGATCTTAGTAACAATAGTAAACCTAAATTTAGATTACCTAAGCAGTGAATATCGTCTTCATTTTATTTCAAAATTTCATCAATAAAAAGAAGTTAAAAATGATCATGAAATAATTCCCTATCAAAGATTCATAAGGTTACAAATATGCCAACGGAATAACGAACCACTAAAAAACATAAATTCAGTTTGGCAGTGGTCAATTTCTAACATACATTTACTTTAGATAAGAATAAAGTTCCAGAAGGAGACATAAGACATTTTACAATAAAACACCATTTGTTCTCTGTTGAATTCTGTAGCGAAAAAATTCTGTATTTAATAGTTTTTGGACATTGAATCCTTAACGTTGAACCTGGACATTGAAGTGTAATTGTTTTCACAATATAATGTGTCACTAGTTTTAAATATTACAAGTATTATTGACGGAAATATTCATGTAAAATATTTTACAGAATTTCAACTATTGAGGACTGAAGAAGAAAATACGGTCTTGAGTACTTTTTAAGCGAATAGCATTGAAGATGAGCACAGATTCCAAATAGCTACTGTAACCGACAATTTCTGAAGCGACAATTGATGCGAACAGTTATTTTGCATCGCCAAAATCATTTAGCAATTAAAACTTTAGAAGTATTTGGTGCAGCCAGCAGCGAACTCGAAAGAAACGGAGCTGTAAGTATAGATTACTAATATCAGTAATATTTATAAATCACCTTACTAGTCTGAAAGCTAGTATAATGATGTACGTACCCAAATTTTGCGAAATCTGTCCAAAGAGATACCACCCGGCCACTGACTAGGTTATCAAGTAAGGAAGGAGTGCGAAGACCTTCCACATCCAGGCTGAAGAGGTATAGAAGCTCGTCTCCGTGCGACACGCCTGGAAGATATCAGGAACGCAAAGTGAGAGTTAGATCTTTGAGAATGATAACGGCAAAGCTACAGTTAACACTGATCTGTCTTAAGAAAATGCATTGTCACACATCATAAATAAGCATAGCTGAGTCACCATCATTTGTATTCTCAAAAAGTCAAGACGTCATTGTATACAGTAAAATTTTTTTCTCGAATTCCGGAAAGAGGCAGATTAGCAGAACTTCTTTCTTATGCTGCGATTGGAGCCAAGAAAGAAATGTGCAAAGTTGAAATACGTTTAAATAAGATTTAAGCTGGACTACTTAAAAATGATACGAAATAATATTTCTTTGCAGTAGCACACGAAAATAAACAAGTAAATGAGCTATTAACCTCTGATGAAGAGTACTCTACATTTATTCACTTACGTTTTTTAAACATTCATAATTTTTCTTGGTATGAATTTCAGTAATTCATATCCATTTGAAATAATAATAAAAAATTATACAATTTTTATTAAAATATATTTAGTACTTTTAATATATAAATTAAAAAATTTGTAACCATTTTCCTTTTTAATAAGAATTTTATTTCGTTTGTTGGTTCTTTCTGGAGAACAGTCTGACATTCGCAGTTATGAATGCCATTTTTGTATTCTTCTTCAAATTCTTAATTAAATACGAATTACAGTACTGAAAACGGCAGCTGTGTCTCCAAAACTAGGTTGCAAATTAATTAAACGCTTTCTACTTCTTCTTCACTAGTTTTTCCTATATAATTTGTCTACATTTAAGAGTGATATTATTGGACGATGTGAAGAGCACTGTAGGTATTTCTTACAGTTTCAGACAGTACGTTTTGCCAAGCCTTTCGTCATTCGCAATTTGTGTAATTTATATTTCATCAACTTTCTTTCCAGTAGTTCTTTATCAGCATTTTGAGTACATTAATCGTACGAATAATTTAATGTAATATTTATTTATGATTTTGATTATACTTGGATGTAATGGATATAGCTAGCTTGCACAATAAGCAGAGTAAAAAATGATTTTTTACATTAAAAAGAAACTGAGTGTCAGGATTTGTTTGGAAGCAAAAGGATGTTCGCGAATTCACAATAATTAATGATAGTAATATTTTTGAGTCGTCAACATTAGCACCTAATAAAATAGTCAATCGAGATTTATTTTGCTTTATTTCCTTACAAATATCATAATTCCCTTAAAGTATTTTGGATAGAAGTAAAATATAAAATTAGCTCCGCTGCATTTTCATTACACGTAAATGTTCTTTCAATTCACAGCTTTTTATTAATTAAGTTAGCAAATTTGCAAGAGATAACTACTTCCGTATTCATAATTTCAGATTTGCTACTCAATGGATTTTCCATTATATCATGCCTCTTCTTAAATTTATGAAATTACACTGAAGTAAATAGAGCATTATTTTTGCACTCAACTTAGCTAATTTCGTTTGCTTTGCCCTGATTGTCGACTGACTGATTAGTAAATGGCACTCTTTTCAATTTAAGTGTTTAAGGAAGCAAATATATGAATATGGATTTTGTTCATAAACCTCTACCTTTATATAAATATTTTGGATGGGTGTATTTCCTGTAAGTAGTCAACTGTACAAAATTCACATTAACTTGGATTCATTGTTGCATTTTAATCACTAAATTAAAATTTTAAAATAGTACATAGCGTCAAACGTTTTTGCTATATTTCATATAAATGAATTACATTTGATTGATTGATTGATTGATATATGATCTGTTTTAATCTGTCTGTAATGGCAGCTTATATCAGATTATTTGAATTAATCTATTACGAATATTATTCTCAAATTACTTTCAACTATACTCTACAGAACATATTTCAGCGATTGATGCTGACAAATATTCTGTTTTATTCAATGATGGTGATAAGTTAGATGCGGTTATATTTGTAATGTTGCTTAAGTTTTGATAAATAGCTACTGCAGCGGTTCTGATTCATGAACGCTTAAAAAGCGATACAATTAAAATTTGAACCTATTAATGCTATCTTCATTAGTAACCAAAATTACAGAACGCAATAAAATGTTAAATTTTTGAAGAACAATATCCGGGAGATAGTCTTGATTTGAATGGTGATTATTCATCCCTTACATTAGAAAATTAATTAACACAAACATAGTAAGTAGGATACAATAACACGCTGAAAAATAGATATTTGACTTCTAAATTAAAGTATAGTAAGAGTTAAAAAAAAAAAAACTCGTTATTTTAATATTCTTACCTGGATCAAAATACGCAATGGGAGTGCCATATTGAATTTCAACCATACTGTTTTCCCCTCTGTATTCGAAAGTATACATATAAACCTGAGCCCCAGTGGCAGCATAGGAATGCACTGTGATGTCATTGCAGGCGACAAACATGGCATCTGTGGACATCTATAAGAGTATATATTAAGCATTTTAAAGTATTGCTAACAATCATTTGAAATTGCTAAAGAGTTTTGCTTATTTCTGGCTTTATAATTTCTCTCCCTTTCCATTACGCCTTTTAGAACCCATACCCGGGAAACACAGACATTTAATTAGGTAAAGTATTTATATACGGAAGACGTTTGACAGATGCATCTTAAGAGTAGTGATTACTAAGAAGTAGTGTTGGCTTGGGCTGGTACAGTTCACCTACGCGAAAAGGGGGGAAGACGACTGATCTAACTGCGATCCGAAATTTATCACCTCGTAAAACGAACTGAGCAAAAAAATGTTTCTTTTCTCCCTCAGACGCTGAACACTGGTAGTTCTGTCCAGGATTCGAATCCCGGTGAACAAGGAGGCTGCAAGAGCGTTTTCGTGGTTTTCCGCATGTATAACACCTGTACGACCCAGTTTTCTTTAGAAATTCCTCCTCGAAGGCATCCCTTCTCTTAGGCAGAAGCTCTAGAATACTTTGCCATAATCAAATAAACCAAAACGCCTCCTCCTCAAACACCACAGGGATCTTCACGCTGCCCGATGAAGACATCTAACAAAGTTTTTTTTCTTACAGACAGCTGAAAGGTTATTATTTAGTTTTTCTTTTCAAAGCCAGATAGCAGCCAAAGTGCATAAAACAGAAAAAGAGAGATGGATAACTACAATTATCAAACACAAGAACTGTTAAAATGATTTATCTGTTACCTGATAGTCGGATGACTACCATAAGAAATTTAATGTAAATATGTACAAAGATATTATTTCTTTTCCCTTTCAATTGTTATGTATACTTCCTTTCTACTATTTTATAAATTTATGCTGACAAATATTCTTGCTTTTAGTATAAAAAAAATGTAGCTTTTTAGTTTCAAAGACGTTCTGTATCCCGATTACGTGAAGACTTTTATCTTTTATAATATATATTTTTCCTTTTCCTCAACTTTAAGCCAGTACTACTTTCACGTTTTAAGATTTTACAGAACCCATACCCTTTCCTATGGTACCTATTTACTTCCCTTTCCTACGGTAATAATTTTTACAACCGCACCCACGGTTGAAAACCCCGCGCACAAAGTTTAACAGGATAGGATTTTTGAACACATTTTTAAATACTTAGTTCTGCTATTGGACGCTTTGAATCTTATTGCACGCTTTTTCCAAGAACTACCTTTTTCTGCTTCTCCAGAGCAATTACGAATTTTACAAGAAATACAGTTTGTTCATCTGAAGAATTAAGTAGATTTTCGTTTGAAGGTCGTCATATGATTTCAGTTAAGTTTGCGTTTTTTAAATTTTGTTCCTAATAGGTTTTCAGGTTTTTGTCGAAGTAAGCTGAGATTTGATTTTATTATTTAAAGCAATCTCTGAAAAGTTTTTTTGTTTTCTTGGAATTAAAAATTCAATTAAGCATAATCGGGGACCGCCCATTTTAAAGTATTGTTTAAATGATTAATTGGTTTAAAGTATATTTGTATTGCGCTCTATAATTATATTTGAATTTGTATTTCGGATTTGTATATAATATTTTTAGACCAATTTGAATTTTTTAAAATGGTCATTTTACATATGTTAAAGTTTTATGATTTTCTTTGTGTGTGTAGTCAATTTGAAACAATGATATGTTTTAATCTTTTTCCAAGTGCTTCGAAGGCGTGTCTGGAAAATCTTGGCACATTTGAGATTCATTTTTTTCGGTTTTATATGAATTTAATGTAATGAAATTTTGTTTCTTTTTTCGGTTTTTGACCTAAAATGAACTAAGAGAACGAAACACGTTTTCGAAGCATATTAATCAACCTTTATTAAGCTTTAATTCATTTTCCCATGTTGAGTTCTGGAGGTTCAGTAAAAGGAGATTAATTTTTATATTTTTATTTCTTGTATGTTTTTTCCTTTTGCATTCTTAGTTTTCGAGTTTGTACTGCTATGATCCTTTTTTAAATTTTGAATTTTTAGATATTGTGTTAAACCTCTTACGCAATGATGCAATTATAATTATTGTTGAGGACCTGCCTTGCTTTGACTCCAATTTACACTTAATTTTAGATGCTGTAAGTTTATTTTTTTGCAATCCTGCAGCTAATTGCAATCCGCAGGACGTTTCTAATACATACATACGTTTGGTTATGCGACCGATTGGAAAACAAGGGATTTCCACAACTAGACCTTGTAGCAATCCTATATACAAAATTTCAACTTTTTACGGCTAATCGTTTTGGAGTTACGCGGAAAACATACGTACTCACAGGCGTCACGAAAAAAATCCCTTTTAAATGAATTTTACAATCTATTTTGTAAAAAAGAATCCTTTACTGTATCTGTGCGTACAAAAGTCACGCAAAAAAATCGTCCAAATGGATTCAGGAACGGTAAAAATGGATATTTCCGTTGAAATATGTTACCTAAAATTTTTGGCGATCACAGTACATCTTTTACTTCGCACAAGGAAGTAAAAATGACATGCAAAACGTCTGACTCCTGTGAGACAAGAATTGAATGAAATATTTAATTTCAAAATTTCCTATTTTCGACATCATTCTCAGTTTGAATTGAAGGTTCGATTAATAAACATATTAGAACAATTTGATATTTTCCCTTCGCTTTAAATGCCACTCGCCTGTCTGTGTTCTGGGCACTGTATTTTTTCCTGAACGTTTTCGGAATAAAGAGACAATTTCATTAGTTTAATTTTCGAAAATTCATTCTCAATTTTGATTATTGAGTTCTCTTTATTTATTTATTTATTTATTTTTTACGTTTTCATTTTATTTCATTGTTTCTCTTACTTACATTTTTATTATTATTTTTTACTTGTAGTTTTGTTGTTATTTTACTTTTATTGTTATTTTTTAATAATTTTTCCCTCCCCTTTCCTATGCTATTTTACATTTGTTTATTTATTTTGTTAGAGCTATAACTTACTTGTGTAAGTTATAGCTCTAACAAAATAAATAAAACAAAATAAATACTAACAAAATAAATAATACTTGTGTGTGGTATACTTTGTGAAACACGAAGAGTTGAAATTAGAACTGAACTGAACTGAGCTATTATTGCCGATAATGAATGTCAGCAGTGGGATGTCTCCGACTCCGTAAAATAGTGTCCGATGGAGGCATGACGTAATAGCAGTCTGGGACGTGGGGCCCCACATGGGGGGGGGTTAGAGGAAAGGGGAAAAGAGGTGGCAAGCAGTCACAAAGCCAGAGAAAAGAAACTTTAAGCGAAAAGGGCAAGGAAATTAGAACTAACCACACACACACACACACACAAAAAAAAAAAAAAAAAAAAAAAAAAAAAAAAAAAAAAGGCCATTAAGTGATCCTTTTTTGGGATTTACTACTGGGTAAGGTTCCTTAATTTATAATTTTTTAAAAATGGTATGACGAAAGAATTTTCCCGTAAATAATTTAAAAGTTTTGAAGCATTAGTAATACGTTATTAATATTCTCATGCGGTTTTATTTCTTTAGAATTTTAGTCTAAAAGTCATAGAAAATATTTACTAAACTAGAGCTATTTTTAATTCTTGGAGTTGACAATCTGACAATACTGAAGCCTGGTAATGTTTTCTAGAACAATTCTATAAGAGTTCGTGAACACTATCTCTTGGCTAAATGCATATATATATATATATGTATGTACAGTGGTGGCCAAAATTGTGGACACTTTTGGAAATTTTTTATGTTTTTGATTTTTGTATGCTTATAGAAAATGTTACGTTTCGCAAAATGCAAACTTGTATATATCATTTTAAAGAGAATTTATTACTGAATTCAATAAAAACACAAAATTCAATTAATTGCAATACAAAAAAGTTATATATACTTTAATATAAATAAAATACACAGTTATGAAGTGGTTTGTAATGTCTAGCTTTCCTGGCCAATCATTGTTCTTGTTCTGAGAACCAATCAAATGTTAGTAACTTCCAATAGAAGCTGACATCATGTTTACACTTGAAACAATTCATTATTTTATTTTGTTCTGTAGAAGGAGGACCTGTTTCTTATACACTGCAGTTACAAGTAGGAATTTTTGTAAAAATTTTTAATATTTAGTCAAGAAGCAATGACATCAAATAAAAGAGTAGATTGGACACCTAGAAAGAGATGTAATATTATTGTGTTACGAGAAAGTGGTCTTTCCTATGCTGAAATTGCAAGACAGGTGGGTGGTTCAGTGACTACATCTGGAGTCCGAAAGTTTTGTTTACGATATCAGGAGACAAATTCAATAAAAAACAAAGAAGAAAAAGGCCGAAAAAAGTGCACCACATCTGTTAATGACTCTCCAAGATAGAAAAATGTCATCAGCGGCCATCAGAAGTGATCTGAATGATGCTAGTGTTTCTGTCAGTTCAAGAACAATCAGGAGAAGATTAACAGATGTTGGACTGAGATGTGGAATTCCACGAAAAAAGCCTTATCTTAATTTTCAGCAACGAAAAAAAAAAAAAAAAAAAAAAAGACTACAGTGGGCAAAGGAACACATTAATTGTACAGATGATCAGTACTGATAACTCACTGCAATCATCACTATCTAATGTATATCGATAACTATTATCGTTGAACTTTTTTTTTATCAGTAGTCACAAGTTATATGGAGTGATGAAACTAAGATATCGTTATTCGGTAGTGATGGGCGAAAATATGTAAGACGTAGAATAGGAGAAGAGCTACATCCTGACTGCATTCAAGCAATTGTGAAGAACCCAGTTAGCGTTATGATTTGGTCATGCATGTCAGCAGATGGTACTGGTCACCTTCATGTCATCGATGGGACACTGAATGCATTGGCACTATTCTAGAACGAAAACTTCTACCTTCCATCAGAGATCTCTTTCCCAATAATGCTTCGTTTATTTTTCAGCAGGATTCTGCTCCTTGCCACACGGCCAAAATATCGAAAGAGTGGTTTCGTACAAAGAGCATTAAATTGTTGTCATGGCCAGAAAACAGTCCTGACCTCAATCCTATCGAAATGTTTTGGCACCGTTTGAAAACTCTTGTCCGAATGAGGCGCCCATCAAATAAAAGGGAACTAATTGAGGCTATAATTGTTTCCTAGCATCATGTAATAACGAAAGAAGAGCTTAAAATTCTTGTCAGCTCAATGAAACGTCGATGTGAAGCTGTAATCAAAAATAAAGGGTACCCTACTAAGTACTGATAACTCACTGCAATCATCACTATCTAATGTATATCGATAACTATTATCGTTGAACTTTTTTTTTTTGTATTGCAAATAATTGAATTTTGTGTTTTGTATTGAATTCAGTAATAAATTCGCTTTAAAATGATATATACAAGTTTGCATTTTGTGAAACGTAACGCTTTCTATAAGCATACAAAGTTCAAAAACATAAAAATTTCCAAAAGTGTCCACAATTTTGGCCACCACTGTATATATATATATCAAATTTTGTATGATCTTAAATTCATTTAGTTCCAAATTAAGTTATTCTACTATTTACGAAATGACCGCTGTTCTAGATATTATAAATTTTAATTAAAATGATTTGTGCAAAGGTGTCTGCTAATTCAAACTGAATTACCCAGGGCGGGCGGCGAGGACTCTTCTTCGCTTAGTGCCCCACGGGTTCCCCCTTCTACTTGCTTTAATTGCTTAAAGTAGAGTGCAATGAAGGAAACCACTGGCGGTACATTTCTTAAGAGCCACCGCTAGCTCAATAAATAATGGTGATTTAAGTAATAAAATTTTAATTCGCATGTCAAAGATCTCTTTGTGCACAACATTTCTGGTGTAGATCTTTCCGTCATTTTTAAGCTCGCCTTGCAGAGGACCATCCATTATTTTTAATTTTACGTCCGTTCTTTAACGAACTCTTGAACAGGCAACATAAAGTTGACTGTGTCCAAATGCAGGCTCAGGTAAAAAAAATGCCAACACGCTTAAGCGTTTGTCCCTGAGACTTATTGATGGTCATAGCAAAGGCAAGTTTTACAGGAAACTGTCTACGTATCAATTGAAACGGCAACCCTGTGCCGTGGCAACTTCATCCCATTGGCTAGTACAGTTACCCAAGCAACCAATAAACTATCGGCGACAAACAGACACTTAAGTCGCATATATATATATATATATATATGGGGTGAAGTAACATCTTCTCCTTCTAAACGGCTGGCTCCCGGGCTTAGCGAAGCACACCGTTGGATTCTGCAGGTCCGTGGCACGCCATTTTGACCATTCGCGTCTTCTTGGGACTTTAATTAGCCGAGATATTAATTAAAAACTAATTTTCCCTATGTTTTCCACTTTCTTTCTTGGGTTTTCCCTATTAGAGGGATTTGGCTACGTGACAAATTCTTTTTTCTCGAATATCTACGGAACGGCGCTGAGTTGAAATTCGAGACGCGTATCCTCGGATTCCAAAAAATTCTCCGAATCCATCGATACCGTTCTCATCTCCGTATGACTTTATTCGGCCGAGCTATTAATTAAAAACTGCGGAAACGTTAATTTCCGCGCTCATTTTTCCGAGTGGCAACAATAAACTATCAGCGACACACACTTTAGCCGCTTATATATATATAAAGATATATTGATCAATGCCTGTCATGATAACGAATAATATATATATAAAATTGCTCTTAACTTAATTTGTTAACATAAGAAATCTTTTCCTAAAGTGAAGTTTTATTTTTAGATAATCACAAATGAAAACAGTTTGCTCTTTCATTTGTGCATGGCACTTGAATATGATGTTTGAAACCAAGTACCTCGATCAATTTTTTGTCGTACTCACATTCGTCATAGTCATTCTCTTTATATTGTTGTTTTTGTATTGGGCATGACATTTTCTTACATGTAAATATGGGGACCGGGAGAACGTATACAAAATTAGATTTCTTAAATTTTATGAAATTTTTATTTTTAGTTAAAAATGATAAAACATGAATATATGAACCATTTAAAACACTTTTGTAACTGGATAGTGTAACGTCATGTTGTGTAGCAAGATAATAGTGTTATCTTGCTATACGATATGCAAAGTTATTTTGATGGCATTTGGACCGTATATACAAGAAAGAGAATTTGGACCGCGTGTTCACTGGTGGATTCTCGTGAGTTACGTGAAATATTCACAGCTGATCTGTTATGAATTATATGATACACAGTATATACTTATATGTTCTTATGAGTTGATGTGGATTCTAGATTAATTATGGCTTGAATTTGGATTTTTGTAAAGCCACATTTGTTACAGGTTACAGTAACCATGGATTTAACATCTAACTATCAACATTATGATACCAAAAAATTACGAATGAAAATATCTTACGTTGATGAATGGCTGTAAGACTTGTGAGACGTTGGAGTGATTGATGCGGTTGAAATATTCAAAGACAATGGTTTCGGAGACAGAATCCACATTGCCACGGATGTTCGTTGTAGTTAGGATGAACATGGGAATGAGGTGGGTGCGCAGAAAGTTCGGATTATCTCGTAGGGCATCTCTGTAGGTGTTGAAAAGCACTAAAATTTGAAAATAAATTGCAAAATTTAGCAAAAATTATAGTTATAAAAATAAAATAGTTTCCATATCATACGACAAATTAATCCTTACTGAATAACTAAATTGTTTCGAATGCTATAATGTAAGATTATTCTATGATCTGCATCATAAAAGGACAAAAAACAGAATGCACAAAAACAGGAAGATGATAATGCATAATCAAAGAATTTTTAGATTACTATAAAGTTTCAAATGTAATACAAGTATAGGTGAATTGGATATTATACATAAAAACTGTATAACATTACTTTTTCAACTGAAAAGTGGAAACTAAAAATATTTATGGCTAAAAATATTATGTTAAGACTAAACATATTTATGGAAAACTCTGGTTTCACTTTTGTTTTTCAGAATTAAGTTAAATTAGTTTGACATTAACATTAACATAGATACGAATAATTTCTCATTCTTTAAAAAGGATACTACTAAAGATGAAAATGAATCTAGAAGGTATTTACAGTTTGATAATAAATAAATTACTCTAAAAATTTATTACAAGAATTCATACCTTTGGATTAGGTTTCATCCCAAGGTACTAGTGATTTTTACATAGTAATCTTTCATTTTTAACACTAGTTAATAAATATTTCAGCTTTTGGTAACGAAGGGAGTTCAGTTCTCGAACATTAATTGATTCTTAAAGCTAAATTTCTAAGCATCATTAAGGCCCACCACCGGCCGAGCGTTAAAGTCGCTGAACACTGGTAGTTCGGTCCGAGGTTCGAATCCCGTGAACGGGCTGGCTGCATGGATGTTTTCGTGGTTTGCCCCGTGTGTAACGAGTATACGAGCCAGTTTCCCTTAGAAAGATCTCCACGAAGGCATCCCTCCCCTTAGGCAGATAGCCCTAGTGTGCTTTGCCATAATTAAATACACCTACACACCTCTAAGCATCATTACATCTCATTATAGGTCTGGTGAATTATGTTTTCGCACTGGTTTTTAGATTCAAAATAGAGTTTCTCGAGTAAAGCTACTGTATATTCAAGGCTATCCAAATGAACAGTTATCAACTCACGTTAATGCCTTCTGAAATTTAGTATGATAGCGCTTGGAAGAAAACAACAACATGCCAAATAAGAACGGAAAAGGAAAGTGCTTAGAGCGGCGAGATACTAAAAATGAAATTTGTATCGAATTATTATAAGTAACGTATTTCCAAAACTTAACTTTCTCTAACTAGAAATACTTATGTGATCTAATACGTAGGTAACTCACAGACGATAATTTGTGGCAATAATTGCAGTTTATCTATCGTATAATAACTTTTCAAAGAAAGGAAAAGGGAGCTGCCAGGAGAACATTTTCACAAAAGGATTTTTTGTGATCTTAAAATGAGGATAAATTAAGAACACTACCTTTGGAGTTCACTTTTGGTTATGGAAAGGAAGAACTGCATCTTGTGACACTGAATTCAGACGGTTTATAGAATTTCTTAGAGATCGAAATTTTTTCCTTGATGAAGAACACGGATGATGAACAACTCCTCGGTGATGAATGGGAAGTTCTTTAGTCAGCTATAATCGCAGTAAATGTGTCAGCCATAAGAAAATGTTAATCAATGATAATCGCTATATCTAGCAAGTGATACAGAAGGAACGTAACATTGGATCCGCAGCTGTAGATAAAATTATTCATGGAGAATTGCGTATAAAAAATTAGTTTGTCGTTGGGTTCCCCAAAAAATTAACACAGCACCAAAAACCGAAGGATGTCCGAATGAGTAAAAGAACCTTAAAGTTAAGTAATGATGGTGGACACCACATTATTTTTAAAACTATAACCGATGACGAAACGTTGTTTGACTTTCCAACACAGCAAGAAAGTGAATTATGAGTCTTTGAAGATAACAGTTCATTCTAAGTCAATAATGGTGAAAAGACAACGAGCAAGGGAAAAAAATTAAAGTATAATGATTTCTTCAGAAATGCAGGACTCGTCAAACCATCAAGTTATAGGGGTTGAAGGTAGTATAGCTAACTCGTAACCACTAAATGTCTTGCAGAAATTATTCAAGAAGTGAATATTAAAGAACTCATGCTTCACTATGATAACACATCTTCTTATCCAGCAAGACTGACAGTTGATTTTTTAGAACTAAAGCACATCAAAGTGATGGAACATCCACCCGATTGTCCTGATCTTGCAACATGTAACCTTTGCTTGTCTTTCAGTTTGAAACAAAATGTACGGGACCGTCATTTTCATTCCAAAGATGAGACTGATGAAGCTGTGAACGCATATTTTTCGTCAACTCCAAGAAATGGATAGTTTGAAGAAGTCGCCTACAAAAGTGCATTGCTGTTGAAGGAAACTAAACACACGTAAGCTCTAGTGAGGTTATTTTGTATCATTTAGCTGTATCTAAATAATTTCACAGTGACCCTCGCAAGAATACGTCTTTAGAGATATGTATATTTAAAGCTAGATACTATACCTATAAACCTCTATTTAACAAACTTTCTAATTGTGAAGTTTGAGGAGAACTACTTGAACTAATATGACAAGTTTTTAATATAAATGATCAAAAATAAGTAATGTTACTTGCAGAATGAATACACGTTCAGATTTTTGAAATTAACTTACTGTGTCAAACACCAGTTTATTGTTTGTTAGACATATTTTATGATGTATCATTTTTGATAAGCACTAGAAAACTTCTTTCTTTGAATTTTTTACTGCGATAAAGTACAAGATGGTAATTTATATTTCTTTAAGTTTTATATATCGTTTCATCCCTGTCTTAATTCATTTTGATCATACTAATTGTAAAGTATTTCATTTTTAGGACAAATAATTTCGATTATACGGCATACTTGTATAGTATATGATATATAGGTATCTTTTTCCCCGAAGTTTGATGTTTCTCTTCGACGTTCAAACAATATTTTTCAAAAGTTGTAGAGACATTAGGTTATTTGGAAGCAGGAGAGAACGGGAATCGAACCACGGACCTCTGGAATACGCGCCTAGTGGCAGACCACCACACCACGAAGGCATGCTAAGAAGGCGGGAGAAATACCTTATAATTTCTTTCTTTTGCTAACAAATGCATGTTATAAATTTGAATACTAAGTGAAGAAAAGAGGACGTGGGTTACTTCAAGAGGGATAGAGTTCAAATGTGGCCGGAGACTAGAATGAAAGGTTACTTATGGAGTCTCCCAAGCAGACATGGAGCAGTTCCATTTCACCGGCTTTCCAAAAGCATAATTTGAGTACAGTGTTATTTGCCTTTTGCATTCTCGGCGCTATGTTTAAGGTTCTAAATGAAAAAGTACATCAGACTATAAAGTATTTTTTTGTTAATTAGACAATTTTTAAGATTTTAAATCTTTAATTATCCTTTCCGTTAGCCCTCGCCAGGACGCAAATGAAGAGTATTCAAGGTGAGGATTTTGATTTTTTTCATATAGAGGTTTTGGCAGCGGAGTACTCAGTAAATGGTTTGGTGGCAGGACAAAACGGATGGGAGATCTGTAGACGCGTTCCCTGGGGTGCTATCCCTAAACTAGAGCGAACTCCACAAAGCCTAACTGTCATCTATATTGTGTTCAAAGCTCATGCCAATAACAGACAAAATTTTTCACTCCTTACCAAGATAAATTCATGAGTTTGTTCTGATTAGGTCAGACAATTTGGATTAGCCTGTAAGGATCTTAAGTTTTACTAACGTTTATTTTATTTTAAATCTTTACTATCACTTCTTATTTTCTACTTCCGGCCAGAATTATAAGCGTGGAAGGAGTTTATGCAAAGTTGTCTGGCGAACGCCAAGTATTTAAGTGTGGCCTTTTTGCCAAGCAAAAGAGAGAAGCCGTGAGTTCGAAGCAGGCCGCTTACCTTAGAAGTTACGCAGTTGCTACTTTGCCTTCCAGGCCAGAGGTTTTAATCCTCTTGATAAATTAAACGTATTGTAGTGTTCACAGTCTCTGTGCTACATACGCTTTCCTGTTAAATTATAAGGCCAATCTTATTCTAAAGTTAAATTAGAGTTTAGTTTTATTTTGATATCTTTTAAGTTAGACCCCGAGTGGAGGTCATTGTATTCCGAAGTACGGAAGTCATTGTATATAAAGAAAAAAATAAAGGGTTTTGTATACCCTTCGTCTGTATCCTGTCTACTTACTACAATTAGTGAACATAGCTTTAGTAAGCTCTCTGTTCTAGTCAGGTCATTGTATGTTTCCGAAGAAGGTTAGAAGAAACATTGAACCTGATAGTGGCGCCCGACGAAAGAATAACCATGGCCGAGTTTCAAGAAGAACCTGTGCTGCCTGCAGAAACAGCTCAGAATCCAGAAAGAAATGCCAGCTGCCGCCCTGGAAGGATTTGGGTATATTGTCCAGACCATGCGCGCTTCGATGAAACCAGAAGCAACGTTTAATGGAAACTCACAGGTAACCAGTTTTTGGGAAAAATTGGATGACCACTTCATGCTCTACCCCCGTGCACGAGTTTCAAAAAAGTTACCTTAGCTACCAGCGCTTTGAGGGCCAAGCGCTTAACTGGTTCAAATGTATCGGCAGAAGTCTCTTGGGTCAAGCAGGAAGTCCCACCTATACCTACGAAAATTTCAAGACTGCCCTACTAAAAGCCTTCCCTGTTGTAAGGGATCGTGCGAAATTAGAAACAGAACTTTTCAGTATATATCAACAAAGAATGGAAAACATCTCCAGGTTTATTTTAAGAAAAATTCACGTTTTCAAGCTCTTGTATGGAAACCGTCCGGATCCTGAAATAATTCAAGTGATTTTGCCGAGGTTACTACCCCAAGTGCAAGACTTTATTGAATTGAGAAATCCGACTACACTGGAAAAATTATTTGAGCTAGCAATCCAGTTTGAAAGTAGAAGAACGGCGGACGTCGAAAGAAGACGCCAATATCAACAGCGAAACCAATTTGGTACGCCAAGACTACAGCAAACTCAAGCACATGGCTACGGAGAAAAAAGCGAATC